CTTCCATTCTCCGTGTTAAAGGTCTGCTTCAAATCGCTGAATTGAAGTTGTCCAGCAATAGGAACAGCTCTAATACTCTTCTTCGTTGTGATTCAGCTTGCAGTCACTCATGGATTTCCGCTCAACTCACTGAAAAACTTAAATTGTCCGGTAAAAAGTTGAAGCTCACCGTCAGCGGAATAAGTTTACCACAAGTTTTAATGACGGAACAAGTAGATAAGTAATTTATGATTTTAATGAATCCAATTTTTAAACTTAGGGTCTGAGATCTCATTAATGTCAGTGAACTTAAAAAGGTTTTGACCTCATTTAGCTTCAGTGCCTTCCTTGACGTACCGATATTCTGACGTGGAAACAATTTTAGGCCAAGACTTTTTTCCGCATTTGTCCAGCTTAAGTCTTTAAAAAAGCAGTTCGAAAAAGATTCTGACCTAAAAAATTTTACGGTAAAACTATTCCGAACGATTTGGAATAGGATACATCTATTTCTTTTAATCCAAAGAGTTGAACACGCGCACTGACCGCGAAGAGTTATTACCCCATCATCCATTTTTTATCTGGTTCAGGCAACACAAGTTTGCAGTATCGGACATTGATAGAATGTTCCTTCAAGTAGGAGTCATTCCAACTGACCAGCTGTCGTTGCGTTTTTTGTGGCGGGAGGACCCCTCAAATGAGGCAAACTTTTTTCAATACACTCGTCTTATCTTCGGCGCTGGTGACTCCCACACTTGTGCAAATTTTCCGCTCCAACAAACTGCAAGAGATAATTACGCCAAGTTTCCAACTGCTTCATCTTTTGTCCTAAATAGTTTTTTATGAATGACTTTTTAGGTTCTATCGCCGTCCCTAATGAAGCGCTTAACCTGAGCGAAGAACTTATAAGTTTGTTGAGTCTACGGGGTTTCATGTTAACCAAGTTTGCCAGCAATGTCCCAGATTTAGCAGAAAAACTAAATCCAGAGGACAGCAAGGTTGACAATATAAAAGAAACCAACCTAAACGACAACGCAACGCACGTATTAGGTCTGAAATGGGATAAAAAAACTGATACCTTAAACGTTAGTCGTGGCGTTAAAACAGATATAACAAAACCTATTATGCAGCGCACCGTCTTAAGTTACGTCTCCTCGATATTCGACCCAATCGGTTTAGTCGCATCGTACACCTTCGTGCCCGGCTTTTACTAGAGGATATTTTGCTTATTTTCGGCCAGCAGGGGGATGAGCCATTGTCCGGTGAATTTCAAAAATTTTCGAATGCCGAAATTTTCGAATGCACCACAAGTTAAGAGTGGTGTCATGTATCCAGTGGCGACAATCCATCAGATACCGGCACTCGGGGAATAATTGCTGAGGCACCGAAAGAAAGCGGTTGGATGAAAGGTCGACACTTTTTGAATACTAAAGGTTAGCTTCTCAAAACTGACTCAGAAAATCTCACCATAATTCGACTACAGGTCCGCCGGAATTAGATTGGCAACCGCGGAAAACACCCGTCCGATCGTGAAACCCGCACTAGTTCTCGCTCTTTGAGGGTGGAGGATGTAAGCGCGGCTGACTGTACGTCTGTTTTATAATGTAGTAATTTCAAATAGATTTTTTTGGGTCAGTTTTTAGAAAAAAAAGTTACTTAAATTTAAGAAAACCCTTTAACCTTAGTAGCTAAAATTTGAAATAAATTTACTTTTGTTTCGTTTTTTGCCTAAATTTGTTGTTATTGGCCGTAGTTGATGAAAATTCTCTCTGTTCAGCCTCAACATATTGCAATAAGTTATGATTAATGAAATATTCACAAAAAATTCAAGTTGATGAGTGTTGTTCAAATACCCATATTTCGCAGTTTAAACGACCGTCCTTATTGTCATAGGAATACTGAAAGTTTTTGGGTAATTTGAAAATTTTTGTGTTGGAAACAACTGGTTCAAACTCTTTCAGTTTTCGATTGGCAACATCTCATGTCTAAGCCCCATTGAGTAAATTACATATTTGTAGTCATTGCTCACTGATTTTGCTTAATCCTTGGTAGAGAGCTACAGAACAATATGTTTATAATACGACAGTACAAACAAACAAAACCTGAATTATTGCGTAGATTCGATAACTTAAAGTATCTGGTTTCCGCGTTTGTCTGGTTTCTCAAAAAAGTTGACTAATTGATACCAAATGAACCAAGGTTTTAGCAAATAAGTTGCATTTCTACGGAAAAAATTCACAGCTTTGAAATCAACGGTTAAACAGCTGACCTGAAATCTAGTAACATGAGCTGACTTGGTTGTTCACAGCACCAATTAAGCTTACAAATGAAGTGGGAAAAAATGCATGCTGAACGACTTCGATTTCGCTACACTCAAAATTTTTTGTACTACTGACTTTAAACCAAGAGGGACGACACACTAACAAGCTACAACAGACCTATTCAATTTTTTCACTTAACTTTTATGTGCAGGCGAAACTACGACCAATTTTTTCATCTATTAACGAAAACAACAACTATAAAATATCCAACAGATAACTAACAAAACTGTAATGGGTTGTGACCGATTTTGTGGAACTTTCTCCAAGTTGAACGCTCAGAGTTGTTAAAAAAACACAAGCTACGCTTAAACTGCTTAGGCCAGCTCAGAATTAGTATAAAACATCCACATACTCAAACCGTGTAAAATCAAAAATCCAACAACTTGCAGCTCGGCACTAGAGTAAGCAAGACGACAACACAAGATACATATTCAACCAATCAGATAGGCAATATCAAAAATAAGTTGCATTTTATGCCAGTAACACTTTTTTTTTCATTGACAGGACGAAACTGGACTGCTACGTCATGCACGGACTCTGCTGCAGCAGTCCGCATATCCTCAGCAAAAAAGCTGAAACATCTCAGTGTAAACAAAGCCAACACAAACAGCTTAGTTCTTCACTGGTCCGGCTAAGTATCAGTCCACATTACACTCTTAAGGCTACATTCACTCTACAATCAGTCTACTCCTACAACCTCAACAGAACGATCTGACTCTACAACCAGCTTCAACATATGAAATTTCCTGATCTAGGCTAAAACATGGTAGAGCGCAATATCAGGAAAGTCCCTACAGAAACCCCTGTGGTGCCAAAAGTTATTTAAAATGGACATTAGCTGGCTCGCTCAACCATAATTTCAGTGGGGTTGAGTCAAAGTGGCTAAATTGAGTAACTTTATCCTTAGATTCAAACAAAAATACGCTACTCTTATTAAAAAAATGAAAAAAATCTTTTAAAAAAAAGGAAAAATTAGTCACTGGCGAAAACAGCAAAGCTGTTTTTTCTAAAAAGTGCAAAAAAACAAGCATGTTTTGTGGAACACAGCCTTGAGCATGACGGAGAGAGCCACAAAAAAGCTTCGAAAACGAAGTGAAAATGCGCAATCAATATCCGGCAGCAAAATTTTGTCTGCGAGCACTACAAAAAAAAAAACGATCCAGAAAATAAGCAATTTGATGAAAAGTTTTATACTACCGGCCTGGAAAATAACAAAGTCAAATCTGCTTCTTTTCTTTCAGTAGCCTTAGCGAAACTTAGTTTGATACCTCCCACACCACCCATTGAGTAATCTTAATCTGCCCGGAAAATTACGCAGTGTAGACAAAGCTGCTTCAACGTACAAAAGCGTATGAAGGAAAAACATGTTATGCAAAAAATTTCAAGAGGAAGTATGAACATGTTTACGAACAAAATGGTATGAAGCAATTCCAACACACCAAATAGCAAAAAGCTTACGGTCCATTGCCATCTTTGCGCTTAGTTGAACAGCTGCAGAATACTAAGCAAAAAAGTTCTCCTGGACGCACCAGAATATCTGTTAAGCAATGAGACTACTTTGAGGATGAGCTCGACAACGCTAAGCTAGCCAACCCCCCCCCCCCCCCCCCCACCGACTACTCAGCTGATTGATTTTTCGCGATTTTCAGACTGATTTCGATCAAATTGCTCGCGTTGTAGTTTTATCAATACCTTAAAGGGCAACGTAAAGCGTGTAGCTAATATAGAAACGTGGAAAAGCCAAGCTTGTCCTTTATTAACAGTCCCAGCAAAAACGTTTGTAGAGAACTATGATCAACTACCAACCAAGCAGCAAGGCAAGTTGACAAAAAAACTAGACTGCAACTGTTCTCCCCTTTTCTCGACAACAGTATTATTTGCGCGCGAGGACAACCACGAAACTTACCTTCACCAGACGCAACAAAGCATCTAATAAACATAGACCCAAAGGAAATTATTGAGCGCATGATGATTGAGCGCGCTCATTGCCGCTGTTTGCATCACAGCACTGAGTACTTTCGCAACTATTTGCAACAAAGCTTTTTCACAATACTTACATGCAACAAAGCTGACTTGCAACAAAGATTACTTGCAACAAGTCTTTGTCTGAAAATCACTCAGACTGATAAGACTCAATTGTTGTCTCTGCGGCAAGACCTACGGCAGAGGGCTACATCCACTCATGGCAGAACCACTCGAAAAAATGTCCTCGAGTGGATACTTGGGCTTTACACCAGAAAGCATCTAGCCACTAGGTCGAGTGCTAGAACTCTTTACCGGCTCGGATGGCATCGGTCGCTCTTGTAAGCTCAAAACGGCATCAGATACCTTAATGAGACTAACGGTGAAATTTGCACTGGTATCTACTAATAAATGGTGTGAGACTAACTTCCTTAAACACACCACAAGAATTGCACTCGCTCCTTTCCCATTTGGCATAAAAGCTTAGAGTCGCCCAATGTATGATGATGATCATTATCTTCTGACGCCATATCTAATATGTTTTTAACATAAACCCAAATTTATATCTCAAAAATTTGATATGCGCGATTTATTAATAATTTTGACTCAGCCAGGTCAAATTGGGAATTAAAACTCTCAAGCTTGACATCTTGACTTCGCTCCTGCGTGCACATACACGTTAAGTTTTACGGTGGTACGATTACTATCTTAGGAGGAGTTTGTGATGTACACACAGAAGAAGACTTCGCTCTTGTTCAAAATCATTCACAGTGAAAGAAAACATCAGAACCGTCAAAAATACTTATTATAGCAAAATAGAAGTTTGTTTTTCAATTTTCAGTAGTTTTTGAACCCTGGCTGATTTGACTCCACGGGAGTGAATGGTTCCATGTACCCGGGGGGAGGGTGCTGGTGCATGCTGTAGCCGGGCACCAGGTAGGGAGCTGGGTATTGGAAGTTGACTGGGTGTCCAACAGTGGGTCCGGCAACTACTTGAACTTGCTGTTTCTTGTCTGAAATCAATTCATTTTAAAAGCTTTGCCTAAAAATCCGTAGCAGGGGATAATGTTCCCTCACCATAAATAACACCCTGTTTTGACTCATTAACATGCTTTTTTGGGTTTTCATAAGACAGAGTAAAACGTTTGGGGGATCTCTGATCAAGTAGAGCTATTTCGGTTTTTGAAAGTTTTTTATTGTTATGAAGTCAATCCGTGAGTGACTGAGTTTCTTCGCTTCCTTTTATACACGTTAAGTGGAAAGTGACGTACTGCCCAGTTTGATTGCATACATGATTCCGCCTGTGATGCTGCCGACACAGAGGATGCAGCCAACACATGGAAGCACCACGAACAGCAGAATGAGGGCCCTGCAAAAACAAATAGGTTTTAACACCTTTTTGGAATTGTGTGGGTAAGGCGAGTGAGACAGTTGTTTATGTTTTTAACTACTAAATAGGAAATATCTGAAACATTGATAAAAATTATTCTATTGGTATCGAAAAAACGTCAAACTTAATTTTGACGCAGAAATTACTCGACGCAACAAAAGCGTCCTTGAATAGCTGAAAGCGCTTTCTTTCCGAAAGGTTAGAGCAGAAAAGCATGCTACAAATATTGCCGGCATATCATTAACAGAAAAGATTTTATGCAATTGGCAGAGCCCAAAAAACTGTGCAAAAATATGCTTATGAAATGAAGATTGACAAATTTAGATTACGCGTCGCTGAGACATGTCTCTTTACAGTGTCCATCACAACACATGTGTTTGTCACTCTTGACCACATAAGTGGCCCACCACTCACACTCCATGTCACTCTTGCACAGTCCATCCTCGTCCTCGTCCTCATCCTCTCCGGCAGAGGCCAACTGGGGACAAGTGAAGGTCACCCAGAGGACCAAAAGAACCAGAGCAGTGGCTGAAATTAACAGACAAAGTTTGAAAAACACACCAAACAATCAAAACATAAAAAACAGGTCATGCAGGAAAAAACCGTTTATTTTTTGCCTTGATAGAATATTCGTATCCGCCTGTTTGCCGAAATACAACTGGACAAGTAGATGCAACGGTTCGCCCCAAACCGAGCCGGAGGAGGGCTTAAGGCAAGATCTGATTCTTTCTACATTGCTGCTTTTTATTCAGGCAAAGAAGTGAACAAGGTTTTCAAAAATATACTTGCAGCTTTGTATCTTTGAAGTTCAAGCTTACCTTTAGAGTGATAAGCCATTAAGAATTGAAATTGAAATGGCCGAAGAAAGTATATGCTACACAAAAATATGCGTTTTCAGTATGCTCGCTTCTTCAAATATGATATGATGGTAAGTTTTCAGCTGAGCGAAAAACACCTGCTCTCAGACATTAATTATTTATTGCGCAGTGTTTTCTCTGACGATTTAATTTAACTTTTAGTTTCTCACAATATACTGTGATTGATACACTTTCAGCTGGATTTTAACTCATTGCAAGGCACGTGTTTGCAAGTTTTTTCATATGGATATAAAACTTACTGTCAAAGAAAAACCATATCAGTCCTTTTTACCAAAGAAACACAGATTTGCTGAAACATCACGTGATTAATCTACTTCCGCATGGAAATCAGCAGAGATTGGTTTCAGGCTCAGGCAGGTGACGATCTAGGATTTTCTCAAGGGGGAATTCAAAAAAAAATTTTGTCGTCATCTTTTTAGGTCGACCAGATTGATAGTCTCAGTTCTCCCAAACCACGATATAGACCCCATTTTGACCAAGTTTTCTTCGCAGCAGGCAATTTTCTGAAAAAAAAATTGTCTGAAAAAGGCTTTTAGGTACTTTTTAAAAACAATTGTTCAAAAAATTGCGTTTTTTCGGCGCGCGCTCCCCCCTCAAAATTTGTAACAGTCGCCTACTTAAGTCACCAATGAAGTTAAGAAAAATTGGCCCTATAACCATTGGCTCAAGGGTCAGGGACACTATCTATTGTGTTTTTCTATCGGAGTCAATTCGGTTCACTAGCGACATGAGACTACAAACCGCCACTCTAGAAATAAGAACGCCCACATGCTCAGGTCTCAAAATACCCAAAACACAAGAACGCAGTTAAAAACAGGGTCGGAACTTTACGTATACCGTTAGTTTTTTTGGACAGTTGACTTTTGATCCATTTGAGATGGATCAACCTAAAAACTCTCCCTAACTCAACATAACAAAATAAAACACACTCAAGAATATTAAATTGGTTACTTACATACCGACACGACCTCTAGAATAGAGTAACTAATATGTAAAGCAACTCTAGAATTGATTTGGTTATTAAGTATAACTCAGGAACTTTGAAATAAATAAGTTTTTGCTCAAGACACAAGTTTTCTATTTGAACCATTGGGCAGCTTCAGCTGTCCACCTTTCCACTCAAGGTTCACTCCGGTACAACTGATTGTTCTTCTTTCTCTCTTCCAGCGATTTCGTCTTCCTATCAGGAACAAGATAGCTCTACTCTCTTCGTACAATTCCAATAAAATTGCGAATAGAAGTTTTACTCTTGTATTTTTCAGCAACTTTCCCGCGATTATTACTCGATTCATCTGGTTGTTATTTTCTCGTATTTTCAGTTGTCGCAAGTAACTTGAGCATGACAAGCTCGATTCGAAATTTTCAAAAATTAATTTTTCTCCCCAAAATCTAGATCAAACTATCAAACTTCCAAATATGACCGACTGGCACAATTAGTATTTTGGTCACCAAGGGCGCATTTTGAAAAATTTTGTGGTCAGTCAGCCCAGTCAGCCAAAAATGAATACCTCAAATTAGTACAAAAGGGGGACCTTTTGGGTCGGCAGGGGGTCGAATCCCTGAAGAAGGACGTCCGAACCCCCCCCCCCCCCCCCTAAATCTGTCTGCTGGAGGTTTCAGGTGAACGTGAACGACAATATTTCTCATTAAACTCTGGGACAATAAGTGTTTAATATAACAACTATTACGGTTTTTTTTATGTCTTTCAAAAACTATTATTGTAGTGAGCTTAAATTTGAGAAAATATTTCACCTTTGATCATTTTTCGGAAATTTATGGGTGTTTACAAATTGCCATTTTGGGCAACTGGGGACAATTAACGTGCGATACATTTCGAGCTATTAAGCGTAAGCGGAGATTTAATCCGTCTTAGAAATTGTTCCAAATTGGTTGAATAAGGTTAATTACCATAATTGATTTGTTACTAGGAGAGAAATCTTTCACTTTGTACTTTATCTGGCGTGCGGGGGGATGATTTTTGCAAAAATCTCAAATAAAAAAGTCATTTTTTTTACATTTATTTTTTTTTGTTATTACTGCTCCATAGACCTTAGATGGCAGTCTGAACATTCAGGGCTTCACCTTGATACGATCAGTTTTGGTTGTCATAAGCTTAAACAATTTCTACCAGAGAAAAAGAGCAATCTGAAAACAAAATAAGGAGAAAACAAATTTTTTGTTGACAATCAAGCAGTGCAACTCTGATCTGCGAATATTTTTTTGTTGCTTCACTAACAAAACTTCCTAAAGTAGCCAATTATTGCTTGCTGAATGCAGAACTTGGCTCAATAATAACATCCACACCCATATGTTCACCTTGCGCAGCTCTAAAAAAAATTGCATAAGGCGATCTGCTTAAATCAATTTATTTTAAACGCTGCTTTTTGAGCGATCAAATCTTAAAATGATTTATCAGTGATCATATTTACTTCATTTTGTGTCAAAATATCATTCAAAAACCATCAAGGCTATCAAATTGTCGGAAAAATTTGACGTCACTCAATAATCAAGAATGTTTTTGTAAATCACCAAACTTTTTCAATCTATGTTTGGAAAAACGGAAGCATTTTTTTCGCATTGACAGTATGTGTTTTTTTTTTAAATGCCAAAAAGATTGATCACTTTTCAAAACAAAAACACAGCAAAAAGGCATTGATTTTGGTTAACCTTAACAATACTCAAACAAAGATTTAAAAAAAAACATCCAAAAATTGCTAATTATCGCAGCAATTAAGACTATCCAAAACAGCGTGAGATCTGCTATTAGAAAAAAATCTCTATCACTGTGGTACTGCAGCTTCAGCAGTAAGTAATCTTGAGGACAGTTCGTTAGCTACTGCATCTGCAGTAACCATATGTGCTAATTATATTTATTATGCTATTATTAGGTAAGAGTGGTCAAGGCCATTTGGTGATGTTAAAACTCTATAGATGAATTGGTCAGTGTTTATATATCAAGCTATAAAACAGTAACCAATCTCAGCTACTAACCCTTGTTAACAAGACAAGATTAAGAACATTAAATTAACGGTATTTCTTCTTACTTTTATTCCACAACACGCTACGCAGTTTAGGAATATCACATGGCGCAGCCAGCAGGAATTCTGGCTCAGGATAATAGAACTGACATGGGAGTTCCTGTTTTCTGGACCACAGCGAACTCCGATCCACCTTGGAATTTTAAGGCATGGTTCGATCATTTCCTGATGGCGGTAACTGTAAAAGAAAATGTCAACCCAGAAGTTATGCTGGAAGATCCTAAACCAGTGTTGGAGGAGCCGGAACCCCGTCCAGAAACACCTAGAGAGGGTGAATACGCTGCTGCAACAGCAGCTCGAGAAGCACGGGACAGACTAGTAAGAGATCGAGTAGCAGCCGAGAATGAAGAGAGGAGAGAAAGAGGACCTAAAGTGGGTCACAATATTTACTAAAATGAAGTTCAAAAGCGACTAGTATCCAGGCTATTTCTTGCGTTTGGGACGGAAGGAAAGAAACGGTTTGTTCAAAAAAATCCACATGTTGAGATTTCGAAATTGGAATTTAAAGTGATGGCCAGATTAGCAAAGGAGACTTTCGAAAAATGTCAGAGTATCACCTATGAGCGTTATAAGTTATTTAATAGATCGCAGGAAATGGGAGAATCGTTAGAGTCATTTCATGCCGCACTAACAGCTCAAGCAGCCAAATCGGCATTGGACACTTTAGAAGATGAACTAGTCAGAGATCTCTTCATTTCGAAAATGCGAAGCACAGCATTGCAGGACACACTCACGTTTGAGACATTACCTCCTGAAGAAGTGTTGAAACGTGCTATAAAATTCGAGCAGAGCAAACCATCGACACAAGCGTTTCAGACGTCCACACTGGGCACTGCACAAACAATAACTCAACCAGGTTCTCAGATTAAAATCAAGCAGGAACCGATCCTGGCGGTGGGAAACAGGAATCAGAATATTAGAAAACCCTATCGCGAAAGGAATAGACGGAAACAGCCGGAAGGAAGGGCGATATCGAATAAATATAACGCAGATGATCGGAAACAATGCAATAGGTGTGGCAAACCTTTCGAGGATAGACATTTGAAAAAATGTGCGGCAATGGGAAAACAATGTAAGAACTGTAATAAACCAAACCACTTTGCTCGGATGTGTCGTTCGCAACAAGTCAGTGAAATTACCGAGAATATAGAGAGTTCGGAGGAAGAATGTAATTTGATTCAAACATTTGATTCGTGCGAAGAATTTGAGGTTATGGCAATTGAACAAAAAGACAAACAGATAGAAATGATAAATTGATACATCGAAGAGAAAGTAAGAGAGAACAGTGGCAGCAATTGAGTTAATAAACTCGAAACAAAAAAGATTGACATTCGGAAAGATTCAACATCGGGAAGGATGAAATCATTAAAAGCCCTAAACCGAATTGATAACCAAATAATAAATAAGACAGTGGACACAGGAAGCCCAATCTCATTTATAAATTGGACAGTGGCGAAACAGATTTTAGACTCGTCAGGGAAAATGCAGTTCACACCGGTAGAAAAATTGAACATGCCAGCACAATTCGTGGATTACAAAAAAAAACCAATAGCAATATTGGGTGCTGTGAAGGCAAAAATACGGTTCGCCGGCTGGGAAGTTCCGGATGCTACAGTTCCTTTTAGTGAACGAAGGACACGGTGTATATTAGGTTTAGATTTACAAAATAAAGTGGGTATAACCACTACGCAGAGACCCGCTCCGAAGAAAAAATCCCGATTTGACATAATGCTGTGCGAACAGTCGGAGGCGTGGAAAGAAAAATTCTATGTCGATTTTAAAACCCTGTTTGACAGAAAAGGACGATCAATACGTCATGCAGTAAGTACAACGTTCAAGTACCCCCTCTGCCCGATTCAGGAAAAGGGGAGGAGAATATCATTCCATGTGCAAGGAAAAGTTGAGAAGGAAATCGAAAAATTACTACTAGAAGGCCATATTCAATGGTTAGACAAGTGTACTAGCGATTGTTTCATAGCCCCTATTGTCATCACAGTGAAGAAAGATGACTCAATTAAATTGGCTCTGGATGCAAAGCCCATCAACAGGCAATTGT